GTCGCCTTAGAAATTCCGTGCTTGATACATATCGAACCACCGTCTCAGCCGCGTAACACGCGAACCTGCAGCGGGGCCAGTTATCAGCCCCAATATTCTTCGAACCTGTTCCGCCTTCTGAACACGTCCCAAAACGTGCCAAAGACGCGTCTGCATCTTCAAATGATCCCACCTTGCAGTCAAGTGTGTGTACAAAGACCACTGTTGCATTAATTCATGAACATGGTTTAAGTCAATGTGCAAGGGATTGTGAATAAACCTTCATACGCGAAATATGGAATCAAAAACGCGTTATACATAAATGGCTCCATTAGCTCGCGGTCGGGCCTGGCATGGTGTGGGTATGATGTAGACCAGCCTGATCAAATTTTCAAATCCAAATCCTGAAGGCTCACAACGTCAGTCAGGCCGAAGGAGTGGAAATAATAAAAATGGCAGATCTCAACTGTCCAGAAACGATGTTGCATCAACAAAGCACAAGCAAAGAAGAAAAGAGTCACCTCCCGAAGCTCTCTTTCAAAATGACCATCATAAACCAGATAACCCATACATTTAGGATCCATCATCGAATTCTTAACAACAATCGGAGAATTTCATTCACAGAGGTTCTTTTTCAGGACCGGAATATACATTCATAACAGGGAAGTGTTCACTATTCAGAATCATGACATGGACTGCTTCATGGACTTGTCCCAGGATGACTGTGCTGGATATGCGTCAGTATTACAAGATATTGACAAGCATTTGATGGGACCATATGGCACGGTAGTGATCAAAAGCTGGGATATTGTCCTAACACTCGAGAAAAACCTGGGGGTTGTAGACATCATCAAAAGTACCTAGTATACCAATCTCTACCAAAACAATTGTATGGTACATCTGCACAAAGTCGCAGTGGCTGATCCACAATGTCCTGAAAACTGTAATCCGACACCTCGAATGCAATGTCAATCCTGTAGTTTTCAAGAGCTTCTAAGCGACCCTGATCAAAGTCATTAGCCAGTTGACTGCGAATTCTTAGTGATCCCAGCCTCTGTGTGGACAAATTACTGGGAAAGTGTCTGTAGTCAAAAACCCCCTCCTCCTCCAAGTCATTATTGATGTTCGTCGTTGTAGCATTGTTAGCTTCTTCTCCTGCTATAACACCTGTGACTGTAGAAGGACATGCCAAGAATAGAGAGTTGATAAAGGCACTTTCAATTTGCCTCAACTCGAAGTTATAGGGGATACAAATTCCGATGCTGAGTTGTTGAAGGTTTGGGAGTATTGGATGATTCGACATTGTGACATTGTTGATAATGTCCAGGACATCGACTATTTGTTTGAGGGTATAAGCGGCGGCAATAGAAAGCGAAACAGTGGATGGAACTGAGAATAATAAAGGAAGAAGCATGCGACTTTGAAAGATGACTGGATGATACTGACGAGGGATGTTGATGCGAAGTGTATGCAATGAGGGGAACACGCTGAGGAAATGCTGTGGCTGCAGTGCATCCACATCGTTCTCTGCCAAATCAAAGAGCAAAAGTGGAAATTTGGGAATCAGATGAAGCAGCGAAATGTTGGGGAACCGAAGGTCAATGAATGGGCGAAGAATGTGTAATGGAGTGCGCTGTGGGGTCGACAATGTCAACATTAACTCCTTCAAGGCGTCGTGAACAATAAGTGCTCGAGCATCTTCCTCCCAAGTATCATCAACACGAAAGTATGCCCACCTCAGAAGGGGGCATGTCACGAGCAAAAATACCCAGTCATCGACGCGGATCTTGACATTCAAATATAGTGCTGATAGCGAAGAGGGGAACGTGACCCCACTGGCCCCCCCAGGATCTCGTCGGTTGACCCAGCGAGAGGGTTAGGGAAAAGATCGGATAGACATTCCAATTCATGGGATTCCACCGCTGGCAGTTGGCGAGATGAAGTGTCTGCCCAAAGGAGAAGAAAGGTGTCAACATTGGGTAGCGTTAAGGTCACCGAGGGTGGGGAGAAAAGGGAACTACGCTCGAAAGGAAATATTCAAGCTATCTGGTCAAACTGAATTGATATCAATGCAAGCTCCATCTCGCCCCCTCGAAACTCGAGATCACATCGTTCGAGAATACTATCCCAAAGTTCTGCGTTACCACCAAAGGATGTAGCATTCATCAATTGCGCCCAATATCACAACCACACTCAACACCAAAACTTTGACCATGCCCCAAACACCCATAATCATATGTACTCGAAGCTTTTCGAACTAATAGTCATGCTATATATACGGATCGCATCATCGAGAAATGTGGCCCGCATCTTGAAAGAGTCATTATACAGATTAGACTTGACCAACACATCTCGGTTGCTTATTTTCGAATCGAATGCCTGCATCAAGCCCTTCAGTCAACTCCCTGGACATGTTCAAACGAGTTATCGACTCGCACCATAACGAAATATGCGCAGAATCAGGGTCTATACAGGCATGGTGAACAGGTAGCGCGTTATGGACACTAGTTTTGATACCAGGCAGATCTTTCTTTTCAACGCCAGGGAGAGCGTCAAAGGAAAAAATGCTCAAATAAGCGATACACAGGCGCCGAGCGGTGATTTGACAAGTTCGAACTTGTTTGCCCTTATGTCGCTCATAAGCGCCTCCATCCAACCATGAACAGGACCGCACGTAGTATTATATTATAATTATGTATCAACCCAATAATTTACGCCACTATTCCTTCAAAGGATAGAAATCGTCCATAACCTACGTCGCAAACACTCCCACAATCTTAAACGCCGGCACGCCCATACCCTCCTCCCCACCCAACATACACTCAACATAATGACTTCCCCTCCCCACAAACCTATCAATCACCCTCGTCTCAACCCTATCCTCATCACCCTCCCAGCTATTCTCCAACGTCTTCGCACCCCCATAATTATCATCCACCCAACACTCCACACTACTCCCCTCCCCAATCTGATTAATCGGATGCTGGATAAACGAGATAGCCACATCTCCCGCTCCGATTTGAATAGGAATACGAAGTTTGCTCGTAGGAAGAGTGGAATAGAAGTAGTGACTCGTCATCTTCAAATCCCTAGCTGCACCATCATTCGTCGATGGATGATACGCGAACCATCCACTTCCATAAAACAAACTCGGCGGGAGAGGGTTGATCAAATCGTTCGCAGAAACACAAAACGGTGCAATCTCCTCGTATGGTCTGCCCGCATTCGGACGGGTGTCCATCCTGCCTGGGGGGACCGCAAGAAGTGCTCCCTGCGGATCACTCGCCGCTTTCGCATTACTCAAATCCTTGCCCTTCACCTTTCCACCTGCCCCCTCTTCACCCTTCTTCGGCTCAGGAACACCAGGCCGCCTGCCCACACCTCCAAACAGGCCCCCAACACTCCCCGCACCAAGCGCACTATCAACTTCATACCCCCCATCCTTAATCTCGCCCCACATCCCACACACCACGCTCTGGATATACGCTACCACCACATCACTCAATACGTCATGGCCTTCCGGACTTGCTAGAATCGGATCAACGAAGTACGGTTTGATCGAGTTCGGGTTGGAGAGGTATTGTGGGAGGAGGACCGACTTTGTGGTGATATGTGGGATGTCGTAGAATTGCGCTACGAGCGTGTGCCAGTGGTCTGCAGAGCCGGCGAATCCGTGTGCGTTGTGGATTTGAGGGCTGAAGTGGCCAAGGAGGAGGATGGCGGGTGAGTCGGGACGCAGTAGGATAGACCTGATGAGGAGCTCGAATGTTTCGGTGGTTTCGGGCGTTCTGTGAGTGTGGTTCGTTAGTTGGGTGTATGTGAGCAAAGAGGGGTTTGTGAGGTATGCTCGTCATACAAGAGAGCATGAAATGTGAGATAATGCGCATACAACGCGCATATATGCACGTCCTCGCATTCATATAAACAGGCTTTGATGAATGGCAAAAAAACGGATAATGAAAAACTAGTGCAGTAGGCTGTTTAGACGGCGGTAGTCACGTAGACTCTCCTCCAGCCAGTTGGTCCAGTAGACGTGTAGAATCACAAAATGAAAGAAAAATGACCAGCAACACGGAATTACGCAGCGGAAGGACTAATTTCGACTCTGTCACTCCAACACCAAACCATGCCACGCCTCATGTACCAAAGTAAAATTAAAAACGGTACGAAACCCAACCAAAAAATAAAATAAAAACAAGTTGAAAAACTCACGCAGGATCCTCTGTGTCCAGTTCAACAATAACCAAGTCGGTATTATCAGGCAAATGGTGACTATTGCAATACCCAAAATATGCCGAATTCGTGCGTCGCATCGCACCATTCGTCAACTCGCTCGCAGGGTGCGGGAACACCGAATTCCACCACTGGAAGAATTTAGACGGGTAGCATTTCGGTGAAATAGGGTCGTCGCCTGCGCCGTGGCATGCAGAAACTATATTTCATAGCAAGTTGTTCGTCAGTTCAGCATTTGAAAAATGAGAAAACGAGAAAAGGGACCACTGACTACTACCACCAATAACACTAATCGTCAACGGCTGGCCTGCCATAGCTCTAGCAATGACCCTCTGCATCCTTGCACCACTCCCCAGATGCAGTCGACTCTTCTGCAATGCCGCAGGGCCATACTTTTTCCCAATCTCATCCCCAGCGCCGTACAAGGGGCAGAACGAGAATGGGTTGTCCCCGATCTCAGACGCGTTGAAGGCGAGGTAGTTTTTGGATTTGAGCGCTGCATTCGAATAGTTTTGGAGTGGACTAGAGGTGGGGCGCGAGAAGATAGAAGAGGGGAAGAGGTAGTGGATGATGAGTAGCAGTGAGAGGACACCGCTAAGGATGAGGCATATACGGTTTGCTGGACGACGACCAGCTAGACGAATAAAAGAATGTGAGGGCGGTTTATCTGAATCTGAGCCCATCGTCGTCGTCGTTGTTGGTGGTGGAAGAGAGACCGATGAATGGTCACAACAAGAATTTATTTATGTAAGTTAATGTAAATAAAATAAAAACAAAAAAAAAAAAAATGGACACTAAGGGAATCGAACCCTTGACCTCATGCAATTCGCACTTGTTGCGTTGTTTAGACGCAAGTATGCAAAGCAGGCGCTCTACCAACTGTGCTAAGTGCCCCGATGTCTATGGACGCAGAGACTCAATCCTCCATCGTCATGCCTGTCACCAAACATGCACAAAATGAAAAAAGCTCATTCTCTTCATCAATCTCTACGACTCACTCAGTCTCTTGGTCTCTATCATGGCTCGCTCTTCAAAGTCAACAACGACGGCTGTCTCATCATCAACAGCGGCGACGACAAGATCAAAAGCAAAACAATCTGCTTCATCTACAGGCGCACCAGCTCAACATAATCAATCAAGTCGCAAGGGCAAAAAATCATGGCGTAAGAACGTCGATATCGAGGATGTAGAGAAAGGTTTGGAGGAGATGAGGAAAGAGGAACGAGTTGTTGGGTAATTTATTTCTTTTAAATTCAATTTAAATTCTGAATATTGATGAAATTTATAGGAAAGCCCTTCAAAAACAAAAAGACGAAGATTTATTCGTAATTGACACAAAAGGAGACGACGAGAGTACGTCTCTGCCTCTTAACCTCTCCAACCATGCCTGACGCTCTCCAACAGTCCGCAAAACAGTCCCAAAATTCTCTTCTCTCAATCTCACATCCACAAAAATCCTATCACAGCGCTCTGCTGTGCCCGCTATCATCTCCCGCGTCACGTCTTCCTCTAACTCCAAGAAACGCAAATCTCCCTCCTCATCGGCACCACTAACAAAAGAAGACAAAGAGCGCCTTCTCAGTATCGCTAAAAGGCCCCGTAAGGGCCCCTTCAATGCTATCATGGATCCGAACGAATACAAGCCCGGAGAAAATGCCATGAGACTTGGTTTGAGCGAGGCTGTAAAGCAGAGTGGGGGTTATGATCCTTGGGGTGGGATTGAGAGTGGTGGGGTTACGATTATTGAACCTAGCGGTGGGAGTGCTGGAAAAGCTACAGTAGAAGATGAAGCAGATGAAGAGGCAGCACCCATGCTCATCGACTCTTCAAATGCCGACGACGGGTTCGCTCCTCCCCTTCCTATCGCTCCCAAACCGCCCAAACACAAAAAAGTGCCATCCGCACGGTCACTCATTGCCTTGCCCAGTGTGAGCACACCTCACGCCGGGGCGTCATATAACCCACCTGAAGAAGCGCATCGGGAGCTGTTGATCAAGGCGGCTGAGGCAGAGGAGAAGCGGGTGAGGGAGTTGGAGAAAATGGGAGAAGTGAAGAAGCGGATTGAGCTATTGAAGGAGGAGGGGAAGTTTGGTGATGATGATGTGGATGAGAGCGAGGGTGTACCTGCGGGTATGAAGGTGCAGATATTGAGCGATGATGAGGGTGAGGAGAAGGAGAGTGACGATGAAGATGGGAAGGCAGAGAAGAAGAAAAAAGTTGCGAGTCGGAAGACGAAGGTGCAAAAGAATAAAGCTGCAAAGGTGTTGGAACAGGTAAATATTCTTGCATTTTAAATAATAACTCTCATCTAACCATCCACGCAGAAACGTCTCCTCGCTGAAAAAGCGTCCATCAAAAAGCTGCTCTCATCCATAGACCAAGCCAAATCCCTGCGCAAAACTTTATCAGCAGCCGAGAGGAAACGCGAGGAAGAGCTCGAGGCTAAGAGGTTACAAAAGCTGGAAGAGCTCAAGACGAAGGGTTTGGCGGGGATGAAGCTAGGCAAGCACCGTGTGCCGGAGAGTGAGATGGAGGTGCAGGTTGGGGAGGATCTGAGTGAGAATTTGAGGGGATTGAAGGTCGAATTTATTTTTTCCTCAATTCTCGACATGAAACTGATGATTTTTTATTAGCCCGAAGGTAACCTCTTCCGCGACCGATTCCAGAGTTTACAACAGCGAGCTCTAATTGAGCCTCGCGCCCTGGTTTTGTAAGTCCTTTCTTTTAAATTCAGTTGCTACCGTTTTTAATCCTGAATTTTACAGGCCTAAGAAGAGAAGACACAGAGTGGTCGAGTATGAGAAGCACGCGTGGAAGAAGTTTGAGTAGATGCTACTTGATACGTTGCTTTCAGACCTATCGCGGGGAATGGCAATGTCGAGTTTTCGTGGATATATATTTTGCTTCGACGCGCTAGATATGTGCTTTCTAATTGGCACAAAGTGCTAGTTTTAGGAGCTTGTCAGAATCATTGTATGGGACTGTTTGACCTTTTTTGGAGACGGTGCAGAAATGGAGGTGCCTTGTGAACACCACAAGTGATAGCATAAGTTGCTTGCCCGCAACCAACTTGCCAGTAGGCCACGATAACTGGATTGAACCAGACTTACGAGCTACACTCATAACGTGCCCTTTCATATGGAAGAAGTCGAATTTGGACCTTCACATCCGATACACAGACGAGTCGCATGGGCAAATAACCAGTGGGTCGATGGTGTACGTTGTAGCCTGCTTGTTGATTTCTTGCGTGCAAGTTGACATGGGTCAATAACTGACCACCTATCCAACAACCCTAGTACCCGATTACATTTCCTAAAGCCTTCATCAAGTACCTAGCGTGTAACGACAACATCACCCCAGAAATTCGTACTCTGGTCGACGAGGTGCAGAAGCTTGCACTCGCAGAGATCGAGAGATAGGAAACGGACGTTTCACGGGACTCAGAAAGACTGGACTACATCGAGGACCGCCTGGAGGAGAAGAAGAAAAAGGCTTTTGCTTGTGGCGTTATTCTATCACCATTCCGTTGCCTTCCTCAAGATATTCTTCATCAGATCGCGCTGCATTGTGCCCCCGATGAGCACGTACCTGGAGAGTGGCGCTACAGGTACGAGACATCTCCAGCATGGCATGTTCCTTGCATCCTCGCTGCTACCTCCCGGTCATGGCGCGAGACTGTCCATAGTATCTCGTCTCTCTGGTGCTTCATCGGCATTGATTGTACGGTCCGGAATCCACGAAATATGACCGTCTTTGCATCGAGGATGGAGCGGTTCAGCAGGCTGTCGAAATTCCTCCCGCTGTCCATCCATATTGACGAATCCTATCCTCCGGATATCGATGAAGACGAAGAAGAGGATATTATGATTTATAGCCAACTCGAACATGTTCTGGGCTGGCTCTTTCATTCGTGGACTAAGACCGACCTAAATCGGATGCGGAAACTCAGCGTTCGAGCTCATAAGGTGGAAGAGCTTCTCTCTACCCTCTACACATTTTCTAGATCAGAGAGCGATCGACTACCTAACGTCGAAACCTTTCTGATTAGGGAGATGGCTGTCCAGAGGGAAATGTATTTCTGGACATACATAGGCGATTTCCTCACTATTTTTGACATGTTCCCCAACTTGCGACACTTTTCCATGGGAGAGCAACCGTATATTACCACCCTTAAGCCTGGTATATTTACTCAGATGACGCCTACTCGCACTCATCCCTCCATGTTCGTCAATCTAACGACAATACATATGGGCCTTCAGATCACCTTTCAAGATTGGCATTCTCTATTAATGGCGTGCCCCAATCTCAAGTTCGCGTGCTTCGAAGTTACAGCGCTCACGCCTGATGACGACATCCCTGGCCCCGACATGGTTGTCCATAACGAGCTCTGTGAGCTCGTTATAACTTATCAGGACGTATTTGGGTGCCATATCCTCGAACCGTTCATCGGCGCTCGTTTTCCTTCCCTTCGGTGGTTGAGGCTCAATGTTTTGGACGATCAACTTGAGCAAGTAGGCCATGACTCGTATGCCCCCTACCACCCACGACGCTTCCTCGACACCTTTCCGTCCCTCCGAACCCTTGTGATAGGGGACAGCACCACCCGCATCGATAGTTATTCGTATCTATACCCTCTCTTTCTCTGTGTTCCAACTGTGACGACTCTTTTCATATATGCCAATCGTGCCGCGCAGCTCAAGTCAATCATGGATTTCGTTATCATGCGGACCGCCCCTGGTAGCCAAGACGCTTTATCTGACCTTCGACGCTTGAACGTCACTCTCAGCTTTGTGGATGGTGGAGAGATTGACGAATTGGAGAAAAGCTTCACGATGAACAGGGACCACAAACACCGTTTGAGAAGCGAATTGAATCAAAGTGGTCCGCTTGCACCGGCGATACGATTCGGCATTGTGGCCGACAGTGTCTCTAGAAGCACCCATAAATTTGAATGTGATGGGGAGTCGAAGGACTGCCTTCGAACTCGGTTGAAGACGCTCGACGAGCTGGTTGTAGGGCATGGTATGGACATTCAATTTAGGATGGATCAGATTTCGGAAGACTCGAATGGGTTGCTTCAAGAGGGACCATTTGATACGCCGATAGAAGAGTGGATTATTAGGAGATTTTGACTCATAAATCAGACTGTAGTCACACAACATGTTACATAAAGACACAGTGACATTGTTGATCATGTTGTGTGCCAACTTCGAATGCAATTCGAATGTAGGGCAAAAATGGAAGTTCTTTACTTAATTATACTTGAAGCAAATGACAGATTTTTATTGTAAAAATTATATAAGTTCTAAATTCCATACAATATATTGGCCTAACACTCAGCATTTTTTCGAGGGCTGATTATAAGGTGAATGAGTAGACTGGTGACCATCCCTCGTGTTGATGTGGAGAATAAGGTTATTAACTTTAATTCTCATGCGACCTAACGAGCCTGGTATCGATGCTCTAGTGAAGGCTTCCGCGAGTGCTGCTGGCAGTTCTAGCTGAACTCTTGAAGTTATTTGATGTTTCTGGCGGGGTATTTGTGTTGATGGTATGAAGCGCGAAGGTGTCCATGTCACGGCTAGAGCCGCCAAGCATCGAAGAGCCAAGCTCAGTTAGGTCAAAATCTCTGGTTTCAGTGGCGCGCGATACTGATTCAGGCATGGAAGTAAGTGGTGTGGGGGGAGTTGAATTAGGTCTTGTGTGGATAGTGAGAATCCTAGGTGGGGCTAATGTGTGCGTCTCTTCACGGGGCTGGATTTTTCGATAGACATATGTGACGAGAACGAGCAGGTTGCATACGGCAATAGCGACCCCAAGCTGCTCAAAAAAGGAAAATAAAGAGAATGGACAAAAGGAACCTGTGAGTCAGCTCAACGACAAAAAAGAATCTT